GTGAGAAACTCCCATAATGTACAATGTCAGTTCTCCCTATGTTCATCTGTTAATTCAGTGTGATTCAAATAAAAATCCCAGTAGAATTCTTGGAGGGGATACATGGGCAAAAAATGGGGTGGTAATTCAGGGCATAGATAAATAAATACACTGGTAGAAGTATGGAGTCCAGTAACAGATTTAGGCATATTTCAGACTTAATGGGACACAGGTGGTCTGTAAGTCGGGGAGCATGTGGTGAATGGAGAGAGAGACAGCAGTCAGGAAATGGTGCTGGGTAATTATAATGATGGGGAAAAGTTATATCACTATTGCCTGTCATATGCCAAAGTGAATTCTGGGGGATTGAAAAACTATCTACAAAAAGCATTACTGAGGTTTGTAGAATAAAATAACTTGTAAACAGTAAAATGATTTCTGTCACAATGGTTGTCTTTCATCTCAATGGTTGGAACCTGGGTGGCTGGAGATCAGGGGTGTAAGGGAGATTTTTCATTCTGTATGAATCATTGTTTTCCTTTTGAGTTTTGACCCATAGGGAATGTATTGCCTACATCCAACATAAGTGAGTAATTATTTGAATTTAAAGGATAGAGACACTTTTTTCCTTTAAAAAAAAAAAAGGGAGGATCTCTTTATGACTTTGGAGTAGTAACTGTGAAACAAGAATGACAAACTATAAAGGCAAATATTAGTAAATTAGACTACATTAATAGTATAATTAATAGTTGACATCAAAAAACACTATAAATTTGTTGAAAGAGAAACCACAGACTTCGACACACGTCTAAAACAGCAAATGATTAATATCAAAAATATGTAGAGGATACCTACAAACAGGAAAAAAAAAACAATAGAAAAATGGGCAAAAGATACGAATAGTAACACAGTAAAGAAATCTGAAGGGCTAGTAAACATGGGTGGTGCAATGTCATATCCATGTGATTGGAACCATGTTTCAGGTTTGACTACAGTAGGAAATGTTGGCAGAGATGTGGAAGGTGGGGGACCTTGGAGGCATTGCCCCTTTGTGGAGCAGTTTGCCAGCATCTGGCATATCTGCGACCACCCTGTGACCCAGCAGGTCCAGTTCTAGATGTATCGTAGAGAAATCTGTACATGGGCAGAGGAAACCTGGGAGACATGTCACACTATAATTTAAGTTCAATCTTAAAAAATGTTGCCCAGTGGTACCTGCAGTGGTGTCATTTATATAGCCCTCACCAGCACTCAGAGCCACATTCTACTTTGTTTGCGGAGACAGATATTTGTAATACAAGCATAAACACATATGGAGATGCTAAGTGACACATATCTGGGTGCTGGTTTTCTGGAAGGATAGATAAGTTTTTAAAATATCTGAAGTAAATATAGTAAAATGTTTGCATATGATAAATCTTTATCAAAGATGATAGAGTTGTAGGTAAATGAGTGGTCAGGATATTTTTCTTAATCTTTTTTGTATATTTGAAATATTTCCTAGTATTTAAAAAAATTAGGAGACAGTAATTCTGATACAACTGTATTTACTAGAGTCTCTATTTCATTGTCATTCTGTTTTAGTTTTGTATCTTCCTGGTAGGTTATCTTGTACCCAGGAAATCGATCTGGGGACTTTTTTCTCTTAGATACCCTCCCCATCCCGCAGCACACTCTTGCCCCACAGCCACACATAGCCCACAGTGGAGCGGCTAGTTAGTGATGAGACCCAACCCCAAGGGTGCTGTCGAAAGCTCTTTCACAAAGCCTGTCTAAATCCAATTGCCAAATTGGACTGAAATGGCCAAACTGGACTAGACTGGTTGGGCTATGTGAGTTAGCAGGTGTGTTCTGTCTAAAGAATTTGAGTTTTCCACTTTTGTTACCTGAATCCTTACTCCCTAGGACTTTCAAGGTGGGCCAGTAAGTTTGAGCCAGCTGTGCCTGGGAGCGAGTGGTCCCCAAGCCTCTGGGTGACCTGCTTCCTTCTATCACAGGGCCTTCACCTTTCTACTTTACAGTCTAAGCATACTAGCAATAGTAAATAAAAGGAAATATTTCATAGAAGTTTCGAGAATTGACAGAACGCAGTACAGGATGTGGGTGGCACACACCTTTCCAACCTGGGCATGGCCTGTGGGAAACCCTGGGGGTGATTCCTAGTAGGGGTCCTTTTATAACAGTGGGGAATTCAGATGCAAAGCACCCCAAATGCTGATCTTGAGTACATTGTGAAGCATCACCAGCTTTATCATTTCTGTGAGTCAGGAATCTCCCATGATGTTGCCACCTAAGCTGACCCTACAGAACAGCAAGAAGGCTGGCTTTCACTTAGATTCCTTTTTGATATTAATCATTTGCTGTTTGTTGTGCAACAGCCTTAGCCTTAAATGTTTCAGTGTGTTACTCCTAGATGAGGGCTTTTTATTCTTCTGTGAAAGACTTCTTAAAGCATTTCTAACCCAGGACTTAGTGGTAGGGATGTAATTTCTTAGAGCAATCCTTTTTGTGTAAGTTCAGAAGACACAGTTGTATAGCTATCAAAGACCTTGTGTATGCTGCAGAGGAAATTATTCTCTCAAGCTAGCCTTTCTCGATTCTGTGCTCCCAGCAGAGAATATAGTTTTGAGTCCCATGTTTGCCTAACTTGAGTAAGAGTCAAGGCTAATTATTTCAACCTTGGCTTTTCTGACTAAACCACGAGGCTGTACAAGCCCCACAGCACTCACTGGGGACAGACCCTGCTTTGTAGGAGGTGACCCTTCAGCTCCACGGGAGACCACTCTTCAACTACAGAGTTGTTGGGAAGCCACTTGGGGCTCACAGAGTCACGGCCAGGGTAACCCAGGCCCCTGGCGTTTCACTGCCTCTGGAGAAAGGGGAGAGTGTTTCTGAGGAATTTTGTCATCTGAATAGACTGAATATAATGATAGGAACATGGTTTTTGTAGCTGAGCATGTCCACATTGGCAAAATTCTGAGAGGTCTTTTGTGAGAACCTGGAGTTTCAGTTGGTGGATGCCCACCAAGAAATGGAGGTTGATCATAGAAGTTCCAAGGCTTATCGTTCCTGCCCTCTCACTCGCTCTAGGGCTAAGCAGGGCACAGTTTTATTTTCAATACTTAGCTTGTGTGTGTGTTTCTAGAAGAACTAATTTGGTGCAGCCTCTCTTGATTGTCATATGTGAGGATATACCATGGATCACGCTGTGAGAACTTATGGCCAGAGGTCAGAATCCACTTACCCAGATTGAAGGCTGCATGAGGCTACCTTGGACTTCATTTGCAGAGGTTCCGACTGGAATGAAGAGTTTGACTTGGTCCTACAGACCCAGGGAGGAATAAGTATCACAGCTGTGGCTGGTGGAGTTACCACTGTGGAAAGCATGGGCTGTGAAGTGTTTGTCAGGAGCACATTAAACTCTCTACCTACAGGGGTTTTATTAGAAAGTGAAACTCTCTGTCTATTCTGCGATGACAGTGATTTTTCTTAGAAAATAATGCTGAGACATTTAAAACAATCTTTCTTCTCCATTCCTTCTTAAGAGTGCCCTAAGGTCAAAATTTAGATTTCATGATTGTTTAGAAATCCTACTCTATTTCCCTCTCCCTCTCTCACTGGAAGAGAAATCTCAACTTCTAAGCCACTGACAAGCCTGCACCCGGCCTACCATAGCATCTAGAGATTTGGGGGTGTTATGCTGGGGAGGAAGCTTCACCTCTCCCGCTTCTCTCCCTCCCCCCTTCTCCACTTTCCCTTACCTACCCTTCTTAGGCTCGCATTCTGTTCACGAATTCCATTGCTGATCCTCTATAGAGGGCTAGGCTCTGTTTCTCACTCTCCAGTTTAGGGGACTGGGAATGTGATAATAACATCAAAATTAGTTGACTAAAGTTGAGTATATCCAAATAAATAAACCTCTTGGAGTTCTTCACTGAAATTGAACCTAGCCTGCACTGTCAGCCAGGAAGGTGGGAACCAGGCCTCCTCTGACTCTTTGGACTTTGGTCTGTGGGCATTGAGAAGGATGGTTCATCCTCTTGGTTTGGAGCGTATTGCCAG